CAAGTTTTTGCTAAAGGACTCATATAACAGTACCCTTAAAAATGAAGTGACTTCATTTTGCAGACAATGAACAATCTGAGCACGGGCACTGGCCCAGGAATGAGCCTAGGTCGGCTGGAGCCAAAGAGAAGGAATATCTCAAGAGGAAAGAATGAAAACACTTGAAAAATTCTATTTTGTTTAACCAATCATCTGAGACTCATTGTGACCCCCCCCCATATGTAAATCTGTGCCCCACAGGGTTTTCAATGGCTGAGTTTTGGGGAGTAGATCACTGTGTTTTGAGGTGTTTTTGGATGGACTTGAGACACCAACCTTTCAGTTGGCAGCTGAACATGTCTTCTATACCACCCAGGGACTCCTTTCAATGTTTTTTTTAAAAATAAATAAATAACAATATTTCCTGTGTACTCACTGTGGGGGAAACACTGCCTTAAGCCTTGGCATTCTTTTTATTTATGTATTTATTTTGTCACTGATGAGAATATACACAGCAAAACATACACCAATTCAACTGTTTTTATACGTACAATTCAGGGACGCAGATTATATCCTTTGAGTTGTGCAACCCTTTCACCCACCTTTTCTGAGTTGTTCCTCTGCCATTAACATAAATTCACTAAGGTTCTCATCTAATCTTTTGGGTTGCTATTGTCAATTTGATCCCATGTAGATCTTAAAAGATCAAAATGCTCAAAGCAGACATTTTTACTAATTAAGGTAAACTATTGCTTGGTTTTAAGAAGACTTCAGGGGATACTTTTGGTTTAAGGTTTAAAGATTATCTTAGGGCTTTAGTTTCAGGGGTTCATCCAGCCTCCTTGACTCTGGAAAGTCGGAAGACCATGAGAACTCTTGGTGTTCTTCTTTTTATTTTCTGCCTGGCTTCCCTGCCATGCCACTGAACACATTCCTTGACAGCCATGATGTTTTTAGAAAGATTGTACTTGCGGCCCTTGCTTTCTAGGAGTTTATAATCTAGTTGGAGCAAAAGCCATGGAACAGACAGGAATAACATGGGACCAATTAAAATGTGTGCTACCAAAAGGTACGAGGGACATGGGAACCAAATGACCCTGGACATGTGAGTGAAATTCTCATCTAATGAGGAAGCTGGGGAAAGCTGAAAGAACAGTAAGGAGAAGGCTTAAGGGAACCTGGATTTTTGAAGAAAGGCAAGT